AAGAATGAAACAAATTTCTTGCACAAAGACTTTAGAGCTTTGCTAAATAAAAGTTTCCCATACTCTTTTTCAGATGACATCTAGGTACTGAATGATACAAATAAACCCAACTATCAAAAATGTTTGTAGTGTATATTTTACATAACTAAAATATTTTTTATTGGTAAGGAATTGTGGTTGGCTTTTTAAAAAAAAACATGTATTTTTCACAAATAAAATACTGTATGTTAAGGACCACTCTTTATTGCAACATCATTATTTAACATATAGATAAATGAAGAAACACCTATGCTTTCACTAACCTAATTATAAAGAGAAAAAGTTGTAAATGAACTGCTACACTTGACATTTAGATAAGAAATCCAATGATAGAAAACAACCAGACAATACTGGCCATAATGTAGTCTCAGTAATGAAATAACTTACTATCAAGACACATACATTTGGGCAAAATCTTTTTTAAATTAAAAACAATGCTCAACCCTCTTAAGAACTAGACTTCAATTTTATCTTCAAAATAACTGATGCTTCTACAGTACAAGTAGCAAGCATATAATAAAATGTTTAAAACTGCATTTCACAAAACTGAGATATTATTTTGCTTGTCATAACTGAATAAAGAGCATCTGTGTATAAGCACTCACCTATAACAGTCTCTTACTCATCGGTAGCTATGCTATTTATGCAGGATTCTTAAAATGGCGTCTGACAGCACTGCATTGCCTCATTCCTATACAGAGGCTAAAATGGTAGCAATTTATTCAATAACTGATCTTTTTTAAGCAGTAAGATTTTTAAATAGCAAAAAAATATTACAAGATGATAAAATATCCCCCAATTGTAAACTAAAAGGCCCAAGACTAATTTGTTAAGGAAATCCTTAGATTCTAAGAACTGATTCTTTTCCAATTACCCTGCAAAGCCTAATGTATTTTAAGATTAAAAATAACTACTGATCTGGTGAATGTAAAAGGAAATAAATGCTTTATGATAAAATTAAGACACTCATTTTTTAAATATAAGAAGTGTACAATAATGTTCACAAATATCAGAATTCATCAAGCAATTATGTATCAACACTTGGCTAGCAAATAGCAACACTTCAATCCCAGGAGAAAGTGGAGTCAAATGTTTTCATAGAAAGGAACTGCACAATCCCAAAATATAGCTTGTTTTAACAAATCTTCTAGCTTTGTAACCAATTCTTAGCTAGTGTCACAAATGTTACCTTAAAGCTCCTGATCATGTTTTAAATAAAGGTATGAAATACTGTAATTCCTAGGGTTGATTCTTACAATTGTTAATAGCAGTCTGTAGCAAAAGGTATTAAGATCTGTGGTTTGTAGCAGCAGTCTGTAGAAGAGATAAAATTCTGAACCCTTCACTCTCAATCCCCAATCTGATTACCTATTATAATTTATACTGCTAAACTGTCCCATAATGCTGAGGTGCTATGTAGGATTTTAATATGCCACTCTTCGCCCAACATACTCTAGGGCACTGACATTACTTACTGCTTACTACTACTTATATGCGTACAAGGTGGCACCTGCTTTACAATAAGCTGAATTTCTTGCCAAGAATAAAACAAATGTAATCTCTTTATTGAAGAGGTACAAAAGTGATATTGAATGGTAGGTGTTAATGAGATTTTATTTCTATACATACACACAATACAACATGCATGCATACACACAAGCACACAAACAAGTGTCTGTATCTGTGTGTATATATACACTAAACACTGCAGCTTGGGTTATCTTACAACAAAAAGAGAACTGGTATGTAATAAATGAATATTATGCAAAATGATGTTAAATTTACAAACAGTATTTGTAGTGAAAATGTGCCAAAAAGTTCTTCCAAAATCAACAAAATAGAAGTGTGAGTGTGTGTGTGTGCACATGTGTGTGATGGGGGGAGGGAGGGAGACAGTAGGATATTTGTTTTGAGGGTCACAGCACTCTTTCCTTTTCAAGAGTGGCTAAATACTGTAAAAAACCTTCTAGAAATGTAAGTTGGTTTACCCATCTCTATTTGGTTCTCAAATAATCTGCATACAGATTGAAAGGCATGTGCATTTTAACTCATTGTTAATGAGTTGCTATCTGTGCTATATTATTGGAATATTTAATTTAAAAAGAGAGTGGGGGCTAAATCATAATGGTAAATTGAATTTATGTTGACCAAAATAAATAAATAAAAGCAATATTGTGCCAAAATAATTATTTCAAAGGAGCCTATATCAGCTATGTTATTCAGTGAAATTACAATCAATATTTAAATGCTCTAGTTCAGTTCTGTTAGGACAGGAGAGTAAGTGTTCCTCTAATTATATAGTCACTGTTGCTACAGCAAACCTGCATCATCTTGCATCATCTTGCTTAAAGCAGAGCGTGATTCTATGCATACCATTCTTAAATGTGACAAACCATAAGAAATCCAATTTGATTAATGTTAAAAGCATACAAATTATGGAATACTTGAGCTTGGCTCAGTTTCTGTACTTAAAATGGAACAAAGATGGGAGAAATTTCTGGAAGGCCTTTCTCAGCCTTGCTATAATATCTGTCAATCTTTAACCTATTCTGTTTTTATTGGTCAGGCTTTCAACAGAGCAACATGATTGGGCTGATCCGGGAACAACACTGCTGTCTCTCCTTGCCTCAAACATCTTGCTGCAATGCAGACATTTATATATTGTGAACTAAGAAAGAATTAGCGTTCAAATAATTTAAAGGGGTGAACTTCGGGGAATTTATGATGCTGTGTTTCATTATGTGCACAGGGATAGTCCATGCAAATAGGCTTTCCTTTGTCAGCAATAGCTCTGGAGATGCAGATCTTGAGACACATCTTTCTTCAATAAAACCTAAGGGAGCCATTTTAATTCAAGCATTCTGAGTTCAGCTCACTTTCCTCCTGTTCCTTCATAAGATAGCATTTTCTAGTGTTAAGATTCCACACCCAGCTGCTAATGTGTAATGCACTTCTGCAAATACTGTATATGTGTCTGGCCATAATTCTGACAACCAAAGCAGTAAAATGTATTTCTCAACTATATTTTTGTACCATTTATATATATATAAATCAGTTCTATAACAGAGAAAAACTGGGTAAGTAACTTTAACTCCTACAGAAACAGATTGCAGGGGGAGGGGAGAGGAAATATAGTGATTAGGCATTTTTAATGATTTGAAGGATCCACTTTAAAACCAACCACAAACCTGGGTTAAAGACAATAGCAAAAGGGATACAACAACTAGATTACAGTGTATCAAGTCCATGATATCCCTGAATAAGCTGTGATAAGGAATTATTTCTCAAGACTTATTTGTGTCAGAGCACAAGCTGGATTGCTACAAAATGGTACATAAATTGAACATACAGCACAATCTGCAATGTGAGAAAATGTCTACTACAAAAACTGTTAGATGAGACATGCATATAAAATATCTTAGTTTTAGATTTTAAACATCAGTAACTGGAAGTTATTCTAAAACCAAAAGTCATATAAGGTAATAAAAAAGCATAGGGTAACTGAAGGATAACCATATAACAATGTAGTAAGATTACTTTGCTGAAAACTAGCACATTCATCACTCAAAAGCCAGAGGAAGTATGAATTGGGCTTTAATCTGCAAATGCATTAATTAAGAGCCTCTGTGAACAAAGAATAAGCAGAATGTTGTTCTCAGAAGAAAACAGGAAGTTTATATTTCAAGTATAAGAGAATATTGTGAAAAAAACAAAATTAAAATTGGCACACAGTTTTAAATAAATTTTGAAAAAACCAACAACATTTAGTTTAGTTAATTAGCAAAAGAAAAAAGAAATCCCCTGGATGTATTACATTTATCCTGTTAAAAGCAAAAGATTAAAAACTACTTAAATTTATTAGAGAATAGCAGACAAGTTTTACTTACCAAACATTCAAGCAACCATCTCATTTTCCCCAATAAATAAGATACAACAAGCTGGCAGATTTGGGATTGACCAAAAGGAAATTTTTGAAATAATTACGTAGCATCATGCCAAAAACCAGAAAAGCCCAAAAAGAAGAGAAAAAAATGAACATGTAATACTCTCATGAACCACACATGATTTTTTATCACTCCACCTCAGAGAACTCAGCCTGTTACATTGCAAAAGAAAAAAAAAGCAGTTAAGTCCATTAGGTTTTTTTTGTATTACAGAAAAGGTAGATAACAGTTCAAAAAAGTGATGTCTTTAAATAAATAAGGAACTGAAACAGATGCATATAGCTATGTCTGATAGTTTCAGACCTAGACCTTAACTATTTCTGAAATCTACAATAAGAAAATCATTTTTAAAGAGACAGTTTTAAAGGAATATACTTCTCCCAGAAAAATACACACACCCTGCTTCTACAATCCTCCTGTAAGAAAGTATCCATTTTAAGTTAATGTAAGACTGCACAAAAACATGATGCAATAGCACTCCACTACTTAGGCCCAGTATCTGCAATCTGCCATTATCACTATTTACTGCAGGCTAAGTGGCTAAAAATCCCATATTTTATCAGGGGTAACTTAGATTAGCTCTTATTTTTACTGTTTGAAAAGGTAAACTTGCCTGTTCTGCTGTCTGCCATTATCCCTGCTTGTCTCCCTGTAGGGCAGTTAAATGCATCTGCTCCCTAGCTTCCATTTTCTCTTCAGCAGGCATGTGACACAACAGACAATAGTGCAGGCAAACTGCTCAGACACAGAAAGCTGCTTTGGAAGAGCAGTACCTTGACAAACTCTAAAACCACCATCCCCTTGTGAAGAATATGTATGCAAACGTTTTGCCAGTCTGTAAAATAAAGCTATGGCTAATGGCTACTAAACCATGTGACCCAAGAAAGCAATTTTAAACATTTTCAACTTAATAAAGTGCTGTGGGGTGAGTTTTGCGCAACAGATCACAGAGAATCACACTGTTAAGCCACAACTCATAGGTTTCAGAGAAAAAAAATGTAAAAAAGTAAAGCTTACCTCTGTGGATGCATTGTTAACACAGTGTTATGTCAATACTTATAAAACATGGAGGACAGGCTCTCAGTACTCAGACAGAAAGGGCTTGGCACTTCAGCTTGATGATCTGTCTCCCTAATAAAAGCTAATCCTGGATTGGCTACTTTGGAAAATCTGAATGTAAAGCTTCAGGGGATTGGCTGAAACACTTCCTGAGCGATTATCTTTGTGCAGCTCTGGCAAGCAGGAGCCATCCTGTGCACAGAGAAGACACAGGCTAAACTAGGCCTGTTTTAGTAAAAGAAACTTAAAAGGAAAGCCATACATACACAAATTCCTTGCAGAAAACAGATTTTCAAACAGAAGAAAGTGAACGCCAAGTGGCAGACTAAAAGACTCTCTCAAACCACATCTGTTGCTTTTGCTTGAGGCTTTAATAACCTGCAGGATTTCCCAGGTCACAAAAGCTGTCCTCTAGAAGCAATTCAGAAAGAAAACAAGAATGCCTTGATAGTAAGTGAAAAATGTTTTGAAACAATACATGTATGCAGCACAATGCATGTAGTTATGTGCTATAATTATCTAGGATCTATGTTGCTCAAAAAGCACATTTGATTCTTCCAAATATATAAGACTGGTGAACTGTGGGAATTCACATTGTGGATTTTAACCCCCACACGTATGCACTGAATTGAAGTGGGAACTCTTTTCCTAATCAGTTGCAGTGCTATCTTCCTAACAGAATAGATACAGAAAATACATTTTTCAGTAGCATGCTATTTGATGTTTTCACAAATTTCTCTTATCCTTCAGTCTTCTAAATTTGCCATTTAAACAACAATCTCACCTGCTTCTTAATCTGCTGCAGCTTCTTAACCATTAACCCTATCACACTCAGCTCTTTTTAAGAGCAGGACTTATGAAGAGCCGATTTTCAGTGTGTGGAAAAATACCAGAGCTCTTTTCACACAAGGAAGAACAATGAAGTATAATGTAAATTTAGCAAATTTCATCTAGTTGTTAAATGAAGATAAAAGAAGGAAGATAACTTTGAACTGTGGCCATTTCTTAAGCAAGGAGGAACATTGAGATATTTTAGTTCTCTCGAGCACCTTGTATTTCAGTTTACAGTATTTACCACAGGCCTACACTGCTAAGCTGTACATTTACATGTACATTTATGTTGACTTTTGGTTATATTTACAAATACAGGTAAAGAAAAACTATACAGGCAACTAAAATTATAATGTACACAGAAGTGCATGACAACAAAATGAAAGCAAAGTTGGCCACAAACAGTATGAAAAAGTAAAGTCCTGAGTGGATGTCCCAAATAGCAGATGGATATTTATTTATATCCCGCCTTTATTATTTTTTTTACAAATAACTCAAGGTGGCGAACATATCTAACACATCTTTCTCCTTAAACTATTTTTATGGTGCTATAATATGTAAGAACAGAGGGAGGGAGGATCCACTTAAGACTGGGCCTTCAAATCAATAACCAAAATAAGGTTCTTGATGCCTTTCTAAAATTCTTGTTTACAATCATAATAAAAGATAGATAAATTACTCTAAATTTACTCTACTGTAAATTGATACAGCAAGTAGTATGATAAAAGTTCATACATATAGAAACAAGTCTGCATAATCCAATACAAAGAAATAATAAAAGGCTATCCCATCTTGTACTGTGGCTGTTTTGTGTTTGTGTGTGTTCCCTGAAATCACAATAATCTTCAGACTTTGCAGAGAAATTTTCATGCTATTAAGAAACTGGGTGTTCTCTATCAAAGCTGTTTTTCAGCCTATACATGTCAATTAAACCAATGCTAATTTCATACACAATTTTGCTGTACTTTCTGCTAAGAAGACATTTCATTTTTCAAATTCCAGTCAGAGACTGTTAAAACTCTAAATGCATTTTGACATTTTTTTGTTCTCCTTTTGAAATGCAGCAGGAAGTTGTTTATAATAAAAGAGGGTAGGTACAAACCAAAGGCATGAAAAACAGAAGCAAATTCATGGAATCCATCTATTGTCTGATGAGTATAATACAAATGGCCCAAATAATAAACTACTTGTGTTAATGTCAGAAAGTTCATCTCAGTAAACAAAGCAAAAAACCCTGCTACAATCGCAACTCCAAAGGCAAAACAGAGTAATCAAGCAGTAGTGCTGTTTATCAATGAAATGTTATTCAATGGCAGCAACTGCTGAATAATAAAGCCCATGATCTAAATTCTGATATTTTATTTCTGAGAGTTAAAATCAACACCAATAGCTTCATATATTACAGCTTCTAACACTGCATATTTTAAACTGAAATAGTCTAGTAAATATGTTTGAAATATATGTCTACTTTCATGTCTTCTCCCACATCTAATGGCCCCACATATGACACCACATAAACAAAGTATGCTACGTAATAGTCACATTCTAATCCAGTACTTAAAATAACAATACAGATTAAAATCCTCATTATTTTTTGTTATCAAAAGATAAAAAAAATCCAATGATTCATTCCTATTTTAGCAGCATGATGTAGAAAAGATGGTTTAAAAGCTTTAAGAAATAACTCATATGATTTTATATTGATTTTTAAGAAAAGTTTTTTCTCCAAAACAGATAGAAACATACTAACTTGCTTTCATGTCCCAGAAGGAATTTGAATCCATATCTCTCAATTATGTCATTAAATTATATTACTGGCTCTTCCCCCTCCCCCAAGTTTGATTACCTGCCAGTCCAAATGGCAGAATTCCAGTTTTTCCTTTCCCCGGACTGTTTGAACATGCAGTTTGCTGCATGAAGAAAACCCCACCCATCCACTCTTCCTGAGTCTACTGGCAATGAAGTAGACTGGAATCATGTAAATCATGGTCCAAACAACACAACCAATCTCATTCCATTGTCAACTTGCCACACAGAGCTGCTTTATTTTCAAATTATTACTTTTTAGGGCATGTGTATACTAGTGTGAAGCTTAGGGAAAACCGGAACATTCCTATAAGAGAGACACTGCAAACACAGATCTGAGACAATGTTCCTATAAATAGGCAACTATAAAAGGAATGTAACTGTGGGCAATGGGATGAGAGCACAAACAGAGAAATAGGATATATTATTGCACCACCTCAGGGAGTAACAGGAAGGAGTGAAGGAAATGCTTTTCAGCTTTCCAGTATATTAAACAAATTGTATAGCTTAGAAATACTCCAATACCATTTCACTGAGGACTTGTAATGTTTATACGACACTTAAAAAAGGTAAAAATGAAAAGACAGAAAATGACGTTTATAAAAAAGATAAAAAGAGTTTCAACTCCACAAAGCAAGGAAATGTAGAGCTAGGTATAGTACTCAGAGCATGTGACCAGAATGATAGCTTTTAACACAATCTTGCACTGTAATGAAGAGATGAGTCAGCCTTAAGCATCTGTGATCTATTTTATTTTTCACTAGAGTCCTCAGACTTACTGAAAGGAGCTAAGTTTAAAAGACGGAATAGACTTTAAATAAAAAAGATTCTGATTGGATTAATAATACATAAAAACCTACTCTTGATTAATTTCTTATCCTCCCAGATAAGTAGAGGACAATTCATTTGGTTGTTTCTACTCTTGCACAAATAAGAACCACATAGAGCTATAACAGTAGAGCTCATAATCAAATTTATAAAATTTAATCACTGATTAAATTATCCTATTTGTTCCCTATGTTTATATAAAAAACCCAGTAAATTTACAAAAATGAAAGCATCCTTAAAAAAATTTAAATGATATCCATAATAATTTAATTCTTATGGGAAATAAAGGAATAATGCAAATGTGTAATTTGTAATTGAAGGGAGATAATTCCAAGCAACAATTGCCAGCATTCACATTACTATCAAAATATCTTCCAGTGAATGGGTATCCTTTCTGATTGAAATGCTGAGGGAAAAACCTATAAAAGCCTGCAGAGCCCCAATTGGATTGGGGGCCACCAAACTCAGAGTGGGGGAAGTGAATCCTTTCACAAGCTCCTTTGTTTGAAAAATAAACTGCTCACCCATGGGGGGGGGGACAAGCAAAATAGGAGCAGCTGGGTCACTGTTGCAGAAGTGGCTCTGCCTGCAGTCATTCTTTCATTTTGCTTCTTAAACTGCAATTTATTTGAGAAGAGTGACCAGACCATGATTATTTCATACAAACCATGGGTAGAAACTGCATTTAAAATAACCCGCTTTAGTCACAAATTCCTATGTTCTGGGTCTGACAGTAATCCAAACCACAACATGGCTTAACTGAGCTTGATGCACAAACCTGAGTGACCATGTGGTTTAACCAACAAACTATATTTAAGCAAATCAAGATTTAGCACAAATGTGTGAACTTAACTACCAATTATTGAATTATTCCTTTGTTGAAACTAGCTGGGTTTTCTTGTGCTGGTGATTCTATTTCCATATTGTTCATATCAAGAAGAGCACTCCCAAACAAATACAACTAAAATCTAGTTGATTCTCTGCGGGAAACGTGTCTTGGCTCTGGGACTGTAACAGCACTGATGGTGGCTGGGCATCCAGCCAAAGTGACACACTCAGTCCCTGGAGAGACGATTTGGTCATATATCAGACAGTAATTTAATAGCAGCAATAACTAGAGATCAGGCCTCGGAGTTCTGCTCTTTAAATCAACAAAATGGTTTACTGAACTAAAAGTAAAGGATCTGAAGTATGGGCAAAACAGAGTAATTGGAGCTTCTCTTAGGTAATCTGAATTGTTTTGAACATAAGGAGAATTGTCTTGCTATGGTAAACATATTATTTAAGTATTAATAAAAATAAAGTTCTAAAAAAATCTTGGAGCTTGATTTTCCTAATCTGGAATTATCTTGCACACTATGCCCTCAAAGAATGAAAAGTAAAAGGAAAGGAAAAGAAAGTACCATTTTATTGGAAAAAAAATTATGTTACTGAGAGCAAGCAAATGTTCAAGCCACAGACTAAAGCAGTTGAAAGAAACCCCTGCTGCAATCAGTGAAAGAAGTCTCTTATCCTGTAATAAAAGGCAATTAAAATGCATGGCCTACTGCAGGCTGAGCCAATTGCTTTTCCG